GAACCCCTCTTCATCACTGCCATCGGAGACAATAAGATAGACGCAACACGCTCACGACGCGTCCCGCTGAAGCTATGCGGACGCACGGGGGAACCGCAAGAACTGAACCTACGGACAGTCAACGGCTTAAAATTAACACCACAGCGACTGAACATCGAAGTCCTCGCGTCGTGCCATCACCTCACCGACCTCCGCCATCACTTCAAAACGAGCTACGCCTCGCCGAAGATCCTGATCGGCCAAGACAACTGGCACCTGCTGGTGACGGAGGAGATGCGGACGGGACGACGCGATCAGCCAGTGGCGTCTCGTACTCCGCTCGGGTGGGTCGTGCACGGAGCACACCCGGGAGGCAAGAGACAGCGCGTCAACTTCGTGGCACACGCGACGACGGCCGACGCGAACATGGACGAAGCCCTCAGGCACTACTTCGCGATCGAGGGACTCACCGTCGCCGCCAAGACGCCGAAGAATGACCCAGACGAGCGCGCGCTGAAGATCCTGCAAGAGACCACTCAACAGCGACCCGACGGCCGCTACGAGACCGCACTGCTGTGGCGTGAGGAGGGCCTGAAGATGCCCAACAATTTTGAAGCCGCGCTGAATCGCCTGACGTCCGTAGAAAAGAAACTGGAGAAGGATCCAAATTTGAAAGAGCGCTACAAGCAACGAACAAACGCACTGGTAGCGAAGGGATACGCCGAAGTAACTCCGTCGACGGGTACGAAGAAGCGAACCCGGTACTTGCCACACTTCGACGTGACGCATCCCAAGAAGCAGGAGAAGATTCGCGTCGTGCACGACGCCGATGCGAAAAATAGAGGGAAGAAGCCCAAACGACTTCCTGCTCACCGACCCGGACCTGCTGCAGTCGCTGCCCGAAGTGATGATGCGCTTCAGGCAGCACGCCGTCGCCGTCTCCGCGGACATTGCGGAGATGTTTATACATATAGGCGCCCGAAGCGAGAACCGCGACGCGCTCCGGTACTTGTGGAGGGAGGACCCTTCACAGGAGCCTATAGAATACCGGATGAGGTCCATCGTCTTCGGCGCGACAAGCTCACCCGCAACCACCATCTTCGTGAAGAACCGACTGCAGTACCCGGACGCCGCCGACCTGAAGCTCCACACGTAAGTGGACACCAACAAGTACGCCCACGACGCCGCGTTGTACTGGCGCGTGGAGACGCCCGACGGGGAGATGAGGACCTCCCTAGCCATAGACCGAGTCGCAACCGTGAAGCTAACTTCGATACTGCGTCTCGAGCTACAAGCCGCCGTGATGAGCAGCTGCATGGCCGCGGCCGTCACGGAAGAACACAATAGAAAGCCAGACACGAGTGTTCTGGACAGACAGCGCCACCGTATTGACCTGGCTGCGAACGGGGTCGAGGTCGTATCGACCGTTCGTCGCTCACCGCATTGCAGCGATAGAAGAGAACAGCACTGTGGAGGAATGGCGCTGGGTCCCCACGAAGGAAAATGTCGCCGACGACGCCACTAGAGAGCTACCCGTCGGCTTTGAAAGAAACCACCGCTGGTTCATAGGCCCGGAATACCTAAGACGGCATCCGGATGATTGGCCCGTACAACGGACTGCAAGAAGGGCAGAAGAGACGGGCGAAGAGAAGTGCGCAACGCTCGCCGTGAGCAGAGAGAGCCTCGGCGAAGCGATCCCGGACCCAAGACGCTTCTCCAAGTGGGAGAAGTACCTGCGTGCAACGGGGCGAATACTGCAATTCGTCGACCTATGCCGCAGAAGTCGCGAGCGCACTCATTACAAGAGGACCAGACGGAACCCGCGTTCGGACCCGACGTGGGAGAAGAATAGAAAGAAGACGACTTCGAAGACCCCGCTGAACACACCGCGGACGCCAGAGCAAGCAGTCATTCAATGGAAGACTTTAGACGCCGACACGCTTCGACGCGCCGAGACGCTCATTTGGCGACAGAGCCAGCGGGCGGCCTTCGAGGAAGAAATTTTGACGCTCCAGCGAGGGAAACAAATATCCCCAGCGAGCCGACTGCGAAACTTGTCCGTAACTTACGCGGACGGGATATTGAAAATAAACGGACGCATCGGCAACATAGAGGGAGCTGACGTCATCACCTCGCCTCTCGTGCTAGACGGATCCCGACGCGAAACGAGACTGATGATAGACTTCATCCATAGAAAGATGCACCACGCCGGAACCGAAGCTACGATCGCCGAGTGCCGACAGTCGTACTGGGTCTTACGCCTACGCCCAGTGACACGGAGCGTGATCCACAACTGTCTTCCGTGTCGTATCCGCAAGGACACTCCACCGCGTCCAGCCACAGGCGACCACCCACCGAGCAGACTGGCACACCATCGGCGACCATTTACATACGTGGGCCTCGATTACTTCGGGCCCTATCAAGTTACCACCGGCAGAAGCACCCAGAAGCACTACGTGGCCATCTTCACATGTCTCACTACGCGTGCGGTGCATTTAGAACCGGCAGCGAGCCTCAGCACGGACTCAGCAGTGATGGCACTCCGGCGCATGATCGCGCGCCGGGGAGCTCCGACGGAAATATGGAGCGACAACGGCACCAATTTACGGGGTGCCGACAAGGAGCTGCGCCAAGCTATGGACAAGGCGACTGAGCATGAAGCGAGCTTAAGACTTATCCAGTGGCGCTTCATCCCACCGGGCGCGCCTTTCATGGGCGGCGCCTGGGAAAGAATGGTGCGGGCGGTAAAGGCCGCGCTCTCGGCCACGGAGCAGCCGAGGCACCCGACGCCCGAAATATTTCATACTCTGCTAGCAGAGGCAGAGTTCACAGTGAACAGCCGACCTCTCACCCACGTATCGGTGAGCGCCGACGATCCCGACCCTCTGACACCGAACCACTTCCTGCTGGGAGGCCCGGCGCGAGTCCCCGTGCCGGGCAAGTTTGACGACGCCGACCTCATAGGGCGCGCACACTGGCGCGCAGCACAACGTCTGGCAGATGTGTTCTGGAGTCGCTGGCTCCGGGAGTACCTGCCCGACCTGCAGAACCGGCGGGAGCCCCACAGCCGCGGGCCCGCCCTGAAGATAGGCGACGTCGTGATAATAGCAGACGGAACGCTCCCACGGAACACCTGGCCACGTGGGATCATCCAGGAGGTTTACCCGGGGGCCGACGGCATCACTCGAGTGGTCGACGTGCGCACCGCCGGCGGTATATTGCGACGCCCGGCAAAGAAGATCATCGTGCTGCCCACGATGTCCGCCGCTCACCAGGGAGGATGCAGCGACGTGAACGACGCTGCACGGCGGGAGGATGTTCGCGACGGACATGAATAAATGTAGAATAGATATTATTCGCGACGGACATTGATAGTTTAAAAATAGATAGAAAATATAGTAATAGTTAAATAGAGATATGTTCGCAAAGTACAGCGAGATTTAATAGAAATAGACAATGTCCGTAAATAGACTGTGTGTTAAAAATAGTTGTAACATAAAATAGAGTGTAAACATAGTAAATATAAATGTCCGTAATAAATAGAGATAGTTAAAAATAGATATAAGTAAATTTGTAAATATTTGTTTGAAAATAAAGATTGGTCCTCGTGGTCTTTAATTTGGCGTGGGAACGCAGGAGCGAGTCACAATACGGGCGACTAATAGAGCGACTAGGCAAACAATAGGCGAGCGAGGCGGCCGAGAGAACAATAGACGCCCACCGTGCTCGGACTCATAATAGCGCTGGCCGAGTGCGCGTGGGCGACCATAAATAAGGGGCCTACCTCGCTGCAAATTCAGTTCGAGACAGCGAGCCGACGAGTCAAGACCTCTCCAAAAGAAGAGGAGAGCGCCAACAGAACAAGAAGAGACTCGCTCCTACGCCCTGCGCCGGTCAAGCCACGAGGACCGTGTGAACGCCATACTTGAAGCCTTCGTTATTTTCCTCGAACCAATCCCAGCACCCGTTCCGCGACAGCCACTGCGGCAATACTCGAGCCACCACGTTTCAACGAGAGTAAGAAGTCTAAAAATCACACGTGGTGGCCGAAACCTGAGCGGTGGCCGTCCGGAATAATATTCCAATGTAGAGGGATATGAGCAGGGACTTTAGAAGTAATAAACTATTTAATTTTCTAATAGTAGTTTCATTTTTTTAACTGATAAAGCGAAGGTATCACACCATACTGCCCAGTTTTTGTTATTATATTCTATGAAAAATGAAATGGAGAGAAATTAAACAAAGTTGTATACTTTGAGCCATTATTAAATTAGGATGAAATTAAAGTAGATAAAATGGGATAAAAAAGTGGTCTATTTGAATGGTGGAACTGTGCCCATAGTTTTTCAAAACTATTTTAACCAGCATAGTTAAGTCTGTGTTCCTTTTGTACCTATAACGGCTATTGGATTCAATAAAAAGAAAAAATCTATGGATGGAAAATAATTCTTACGGTGAAATGGTATGTAAATAAACTTATAAAAATTTAAACATACTTTCAGTGATACCGAGTTAGGTAAATCTAAAATTTTAAAATCAATAACCAATAATGCTGTTTCAGAAATTGTACTTTGGTTAAAATAACGCATTACTGTCCTAAAATGAGCAAGAGACGCAGAGCGTCTTCTGGGGCAAGCCGAGCTGATGGTGACGATAGTGATGAACTAAGTAATCCTGGACCACCACCATCGAGCAGGAAAAGGAAAAAGTTGGATCCTGTAAGTTTAATGTTTAAAATTCCACAATTCTTCACGGTGCCATTTCTTGTCATTTCAACAAACTACGAACCTGTTATTTTAATTTCATATTATTGTAAAGAGTAAAATAACCAGTAAGGCAACTTTGAAACATAAAACTCGTCGCCACCAAGTGTTTAGGCATTCACAAACCCGAGATGTTAGGTTGGGATTTTGGTATAACTCTATATTTACACTTTATTCTAAACTTTCCTCTGCCTGTTTATACAAGAAAAAACGATTAGTTATGTATTTAATTAAACGACAGTCAGCCTATCTCTAAAATATATCTCTTCCAGACAGTGTATGTAATCTGAACTCCAGTAACTGCTTAATACTAGGTAGGCTGTAAGTAAACATAAAAAAAATGATAATGTGCCTGCATGGACTAAATGCTAGTTTACTTGATTACTACTGTGTCTCATATCCTGACCACAAAGCAATCTGTTTATTTGTGCAAGTAATCAAAATGATTACAGTAGTTTACAACTTATATTTATTTCAAAGAATTCATTCATTTTAGAGTGAAATTTGCCAGCAACTTTATGATACAATAAGATCTCATAAGAAAGAAGACGGGACTCTGTTATGTGACTCATTTATAAGGGCTCCAAAGAGACGACAGGAACCTCAGTACTACGAAGTTGTATCACAACCAATTGATTTACTTAGAGTGAGTATTATTCATTATAATATATCTTTGTTGTTATTAAGTTCAGTCATAAAGACCACCTGTTTTAGCAGTAGTAAAGGTTTTTTAGTAAAATGCATTTCATTTGACATTTTGGTTATTTAATTATCCACATTTTATATATGCAGGTAAAACTTTGTGCACATATGTATGCAAATATATATATATTTATGTAGCACTTACTGTTTATATAACTACAACCTACACATTTAGTTAATTACAACAGCTGCCCCACCTTTCAAACCAAAAAGCATTACTGCTTCACGCCAGAAAAATCCAGGGTGGTGGTACCTTTCCGCGCTGTCTCACAAGAGGTCCTACCACCAGTAATAATTACACGAAAATTATCTTATTATTCAGGTACAACAAAAACTTAAAACAGACACATACGAAGACATTGAAGAATTAACAGCAGATATAGAGCTACTGGTGAACAATGCTAAAGCATTCTACAAACCTGACACTGTTGAGTATAAAGATGCAGTTGACCTTTGGAAGCTATTCTTGCATACTAAACAAACACTGGAACATGGTATGTGAAAAATAATGCGAGTAATAAGTATAATATAAGTTATTTACTTCTTGGGAATAATTGCCTAAAACGTCAAAATAAAACTTAAATATAACTCAATTTTTTTTCTAAATTTGTATATTTTTTAATAATGTTTGGGGTAGAAAATATAGTACAACTTCGATATAGCAAAAAGGAAGGGAACAAGTAAATATTCGTTATATCAAGTAATTCGGTAAACTGAGATTTGTTATGTAAAGGTTAGGTTGGTCTACCATTTGTTATAATGAGGTAACAGAAATAGTTTTATTCACCTCAACATTACATATTCATCTTGTTATAGTGAACAACGCCTACTGATAAATCAGAACACATTTTTATCAAACAACTGTATGTATTTCCTATTTAAAAACAATTAGGTAGTAAACAATTTTTCTCAAACCTGTCAAAATTAATTCAAATACGATTTTACGACGGATTAAGGTCATATTGGTGGGAACATTATATAAAGGTTTTGGGTTGACAAAATTCATTATTTAGACGTATTGACACTTTTTTGATAGTTAAAAATACGTTATAAAGAGGTTGTTCACAAGAAACCTTCACAATGTAAAGGTATATTAAATATTTTCTTTGTTCTTTCATACAATTTCAGGGAAGATGGGGGAATTTATTATTTAACAAAATTGTTATTTAAAATATCGATGTAATCTATTTATTAATTTCTTTAGATGAAGACATGAAAACT